ATGCCACAAGAACTAATATATGATGTGTCACAAGAACTAATAGATGATATGCCACAAGAACTAATAGATGATGTGCCACAAGAACTAATAGATGATGTGTCACAAGAACTAATAGATGATTGGAATTATTTGATCTGTGGTATTATTTGACCTGTTATATTACTTTATCTAGAGTGACTTAACCAGTATAAACATCACTATCATGAACGTTAACGACAATGATCCAACCTTCATGGAGACTCGGTACACGTTTAAAGTGACCGGTCCTGATATTCGTCCTGGAAAGTTGATAGGAAAAGTGGAGGTAAGTAACTCTACTATAACTGAACTTTAGGCTTCAGTATTTTATTTATATCCCAATCTTATGGTTCCACTTTGAGGAATCGATTAAATCATGAATCTCTTCTATTATGTGTTATATAAACAGCTAGAGTTATTGTTCAGACTGATCACCTCATCTGAAATACATGCACGTCGTATATAGTACCCTTTATTGCGATAGAATTATCTTTAAAATAATCTATTATTCTGGCACAGGTGACCGATGGAGATACTGATGACGTCGTGGAGTTGAGTATAAAGGGACCGTTTCCAAAGTGAGTTGTATATTTTGTCATAAAAGCTGGTAATTTCTGGAAAAAAAAAGAAACAAAGTATTCAATTTCTTATTACTTTTTTTTCTCTGTAGCTTCCTGGATACGCATGTTTCTTGGTGTAGTGACCAAAGGATGGAGAGGGGGGAACTCAAAAACGTTTTTGGTCGCTACGTGGAGTTTTAAGATTTCTTTACAATGAGCTTATTTTATTCCTGTCGTGAATTACTGTCGTAATAAGTACATTTAGATGTGAAACTGCTTTCATTCAGTTTCATTTCACATTCAGTCCAGGAACATGTACATACCACGTGACTGTTTAAAGACTTTTAATAATCGCATTGCACCAGAGTTGCATTAATCTAACCATCTATTAGTTCTTGTGACACATCATCTGTTAGTTCTTGTGACACATCATCTATTAGTTCTTGTGGCACATCATCTATTAGTTCTTGTGACACATCATCTATTAGTTCTTGTGGCACCAGGTCAAGTAATATCATAAGTCAAATAATACCACAGGTCAAGTAATATCATAAGTCAAATAATT